AAAAAAAAAAAAAGGAAAAAAGGAAAAAATGGCACGAGTTTAATGGGCCACGGCTGTGTGTCGTGGGGGCCAGGTCCATCCCTTCTGCGTTTGGGCCCTTCCGCCACAGGATCCACGTGCTTGAGATAATGTTAAAATTGTTAATTAAAGAAAACCGCAAATACCGGTGCCTCTGTTTTTTCATCACCTCCCATGTGAATTTTACCTAAGCTTTAAACTCTATTTCAGCTTTAAATTTTTGTATTTATTTCATTTCACTTTTTGAGGTTTGCAATATTTGGTTTCAAGTCATATTTCTTACCCAAAAAAGAAAAAAATTAAGTTATTATTATTATTATAAGAAAATCTAGTAATGAAAAACTGATATGTATTTTTACAAAATAGCAAAAAAGATGAGGTGGGGGGAATACAAAAGAAGAAGAGATATGCTTAGCACACACCAAATCTTCGACACAAGGCATGAAGCAATCAATTTGGATGTGTATACATTTTAGACATAATGGGTGGGCTTGGGAAGCTACATGATTTCACAAGTAGATGTGAAAAAAAGGAAAAGAGAAGCTTTGCTTTGTAATATAAATGTATCAGCTTTAGTTTTTATCTTCAAAGCCAAGGTACACTCACACCATTGCCCACAATTTCATAACAATTTCACTTCTTTCCTACTCAAAGGTTGTTGGAATAATATTGGAAAGGCTCCCCCTTTTCTTACCCAACACACTCCCATGAGAGACTTGTCTTTCCCTACAAAACCTCTTCTATACAACTGCAAATTAAAAGTCCCATATTGGCCTTCATTAAATCTCACCCCCTACACAAAAATCCTTTCACCCCACTCAACATTTAACTAACCAACATACATATTTCCCATTATTGCACCCCCCATCCAACCTTTTCTTGTTGCCAAATCCAACTAACCCCATTGCATGCCTTGCCTTGCCTAGCTAATTTTTCGGAATGGATTCTGTGTAATCTAGATTCGTTGTCTGGGCTGAGCAACATTGTGACTAACACAAGGTTGGAATACATACACAAGACCTCCTTGCTATTGAGCAACATTGTGAAAATTGATATAATACTGATCTTTTTTTATAAAACCTAACTGGGTTTTTGGCTGTCAAAAAGAAAAATGTAAACTTTGTTTATTTTTCATGGTGTATTTTTGGCGGTCCCTAATATTATTGTTAGGAGAGGAGAGCATGTGCAGATGTTGCGAAGGGGCCAGAGAAAGSGAGAGGATTGGAATTCAGAGCGTAAGATATATACAACAGATATATATGTTCAATTAATCGACCAACATGCTGGCCTACGATTAATCCCTACCTACAAAATATTTTACAAGACGATACATTTTTTAATTAATTAATTTATACAATATAATACTGCCGACTTCTTCATCGCATTAAAATTGAGCCTAGAAAACAAAAGTTATATTGCTTAAATAATCTTACTTAAATTCAGATAAATAATACGCACTTTTCCAGACCAAAAAGTCTTCTCTTTTAATTGTGTGCACGATAATGGCAGTATTAATTTAATTAACATTATCAGGCGGTGATTGGTGCTGCCTAGCTGCAGAATTAGTCGCCTTAATAAAAACATAGGACGTCTTGTTGGGTTCTTTCTTTCTTTTTTTCTTTTTAAAATATTCCCCTTTCCACTCATTTAGTCTTATATTATCTTAATATATATGTAAAAGCTCAAGATGGGCTTGAACTTTTTGTCCTGGGCATGACTCCAGAAAACAAAGGTTAGACAAAATGGTTCGATATATGATTAAAGTTAATCTTTTCGTTTGTTTAAATAATCATTTTTTTTTGTGAGATTAAAAGTAAAATATAAGAGTTTAGATTCAAAATGGACAATAYCATACCATATAATTGTGTAAAAGTTGAAATTTCATTGTCCTTTCAAAAAGTCGTCGACAACTGAAGTCAAGGCATCGTGATCAAAACGAAAAGGGTTTGTCCTTCACATGGTGGGCGTGGGGACAATTGAGGAAGGGCCAAACCCTCGGCTTCATATGGATGGATCCATCTCCCACGCTACCACATATAAGTGTTACAAGTTTAGTTAGTTTTGAAGCTACCATTTTTTTTCTTTGTGACCTAATCAAAGCCAAAGGCATGGTTTTTTGATTAAGGGGGTGGTCCGTGAGTGAGTGATTTTTTGGTTTTATGGGTTCAACTGGGGAACCCATATGACACCATTTTGTCCTTAGCTTCAGCTAATCACCAAAATAGTGGCTTTTTCTCTTCCCCTTGTGGGTCCAAAAGCTCATTAGTTTCTCTATTTAATTGGGGGCTCAGAGATATGCGTAAAAGTTTATGGTTAAGGTCTCAAAAAGCTAGGACAATATTGTTAAATTATATTGCTTTTTAAAATTTTATTTATAACTTATCAAATATGGAATAGGGTTTGTTTGTCATTAGATTCTAAAAAGCGTAGCATTTGTTTTTTCTTTTTGGCCTCTTGAGCTAGATTCATCAGCTGGGGCAATAGCGTAGAGACAGTTAATTATGTTAAATTAATTCGTGTATTTAGTTTCTTGTGACACTTTTTTTAATATTACTTCACAGAAATAATGGTGGAGATTTTTCATTTTAATCTTATAAGAAAGGGCCATGATTGGTGCATGTGGTATACCAAGGATTCATTAATTAATTTAAAAATATATAGATTATAAACTATTGATAATATTTTTTAAAAATCGGAATACTTTTTGCTGTGGTTGGTTAGTTGACAAGGCACATTTGTTTTTAGTGAAGGCATTTTTTTTTTTGAGTTTAAAAAATAAAAGAAAGAGAAAAAGATCCCCTTTCGTTAGTTTTAGCCTTCTTTAAATATGCTTTTTACATGAAAAATTGCATTTAATTGGAGAACCAAATGAGGAGCCAAAAAAAAAAAAAGATAAATTACTATGTTTTAATGTGAAGTATTCCAACTGATTGTTATGTGAAACCATTATATATTAGATTAATTAAAGAGATTAGTGGTATTTACCTAAAAATAAATTATAGCAAAAAAGAAAGAAACATAGCAAACAATTAAAAAAAATTAAAGAAAACACAATTTCATATAACAATCCTTGATAAAGGGAAAAAACACCCAATAATAAAGAATAACAATACCTTTTTTTTTTGTCACAGTAATTTAAATGTAGGTTGCAGAACTATTTATGATAATGATGTGAATTTTTTGGTACGATGTAATGTGGTCTAATTCATGCTCGGTACAAAATCTCACTTTCTTTATTTAATTTTCTTAGTTGTTATATTTAGAGCACCCCTTATTACACTTTTTTTTATCAGAGTGAAAAAAGATATTAAGTTGAAAATAATTAAATACATTTTATGGGTTTAAAAAAAAAATTAAATACATTTTCTGAGATTGATTAGTACCTTATTAGTACTAATTGGTAATGAAGTGCAGTTAATGTTTGTTTTTTTTTTTTGGAGAGGTAATAAGTGTAATTAAGGCTTGGTGGTTGATAACTCTCTTTGTATGTATTGGGGAATTTTCTCTTTTCATACTAAAAATAATTTTCCTATTATTAAGGGAAAAAAAGATGCTGACAGGCTGCTAGTGTATGCGTAGATAATGATAGTTTCTCAAATGGGAAGTAGAACAAAAACGAAAAAAGGAAATAATGAAATAAGAGAAGAGAAGTCATATTTTTTAGTTAAAGAAAATAACCTCTGAGTTGTAATGTGAAAAACAAAAACTTGATGAAGATTGAAGAATGATAAATAGCGAGACAAAAAAAAAAAAAAGAAAAACCATCAATAGTTTAGCTTTATACTTGTTTTAAACGAGAAGGTTATGAGTTCAAATTTCTCTCTCTCACTTTTTATACTAAAAATAAAAAATACATACTTTTAGTCATTTCAGATCAAATGAGTGTCATGAACGAGGGTGGATCATTTATAATTGTGATACTATATATTCCTAGAAAAATAAATTGCAATACTATAGATGGAAAGTTAAAAATGTAATTTAGATATTTCAAATATATATTATATATATATTCATTTTTTTTATCTAATTCAACCATAACAACAATTATCAAGTTAGTGTATATATATAAAAATTAAAAATATATATAAAAAGTTTATTGATGATGATAATAATAATTTAGAGACAGAGAATGCATTCTCTACAAAATCCACCTCCATACATTAAATTTTATTAATTTACACAATAAGTTTATTTTAGAACATATCCTAATAACAATTTAAGTAGAAATATATTATTTAAATATAGATTATTGTTATAAATATTTTATTTTATGAATTTGATATTTTCCACCTTTAGCATTTATATAAATTTTCTAGTTTTTATGGCCATTATGATGGTGAGAGAAAAAATGTGAGAAAAAAGTATAGTGTATAGCCTATAAATAATTATTTGTATAGGCTTTGGGTTAGAAAGGGACCCTAAGCTAACTATAAAGAGGGACATCCAATTTATGTTTAAAAAGAGAAAGAAACATACCTAATGAATAATGGGTTGTTTGGGGATTTTCTATCCATTTTTACAATTGTGGTAAAATAGTTTTTCAAAAGTAAAATTATTGTTCATAAGAATTTGATTTTTAGAAATAAACAACTTCACTTATATGAAAATCTAACCTAATTGATAGAACAAATTAATAGAAAATAGTTATATAAATATATTTTTATTTTACAAATTAAAATATTGAACTTATTTTAAAATCTATGTTCAAAATCACTTTTACAAACTATCTACCAAACATATAAATGGAAACAGTGATTTTAAACACGCGAAACTAAGACTATATAATCAAGATTATGTCTATGGTTTTCCAATTCACTCTTTAATAAATAAATGTTTGGCAGGTTTTATTCTATTATCCGAATATTGAAATTTCTAAAAGCAACATCTTTTTTTTCAAAACTTTAAAATACATCATTGTGTTAAGAAAGATAAAAACTTTGAGAAATATATTATATCATAATTATAAAATTCATTTCGATTTTGTTAAAACTAAAAACTTTAAAATAATAATTTTATAATATATTAATAAATTAATTAATATTATTTTAGATTTAATTAAATATTTAATTGGTAACCATCCTTAATTTATAAATATACCATCATTTTTTAAATTGTGATTTGAAAATACTTTGTTTTTTAATATTTTGTTTCCAGATTTCTATTTCCAGACAACAACTTTAATTTCTGAATTCTTAGGAAGAAATTGGTATTTAAAAAGAAAATCCCCAATGTGTCCTTCTTTCGTTATAGTTAACAAATGTGACGACTATTTCCAATTTTGACCTTATTTGATCTGATATTGGATATTTAATCCTTGAATTAAAATATAGGTAATTTTTATTTTCTGTTAAAAGAAGGCAGAGGATGACCCGTAACCCTAGACCTGCAGTCTTGATAAGTAGCTCTATATCACGGATTTTCTGTTTTGGTTTCAGAAATCAGAGGAGTGACTCTTCGCCGGAGCCTCTACCACTAACTCGCCGGAAAATGATTCTGCTCCATTTTCAGTGAGAACTAAAATGAGAGAAGAGCGGGGCCCGAGACCTGCAGAAACAGACCCGACGAACTCGCCGGATTTCTCAGTCGAAAAGCCAACTCTCCGGCAAGTTATTCAATTCATTTCTTCCTTGATATCTCTTTCTCATTCCGTTAAAGTTTTTGCCTCAAAATGGAAGTTAATCAGGGACAAGCTCGAGGAATTGAATTCCGGCTTAATCGCGGCCGATAACTGTGATTCCGACGAAAATCCTGCAATCTCAGCCCTAATTCCGAAAGTAATAGAGACTGCTACTGAATGCCACGATCTCGCTCGCCGCTGTGTTGACCTCTCTTTCAGTGGGAAGCTTTTGATGCAGAGTGATTTGGATGTAATCTGTGCGAAATTTGACCGCCATGCGAAGAAGCTTTCGGATATATATACAGCCGGCATTTTGTCCCAAGGGTTTGCCATCGTCGTTTCTAGGCCCGGCCTCGGTGCTTGTAAAGACGACATGAGGTTTTATGTGAGGGACATAGTAACGAGAATGAAGATCGGTTGTTCAGATCTGAAGAGGCAAGCTCTGGTTAATCTGCTTGCTGCCGTAATTGAAGACGAGAAGTATGTGAAAGTGATAATAGAAGTTGGGGAGATAGTGAATCTCCTGGTTAATTTTCTTGGTTCTCCGGAGACGGAACTCCAAGAAGCGGCTCTGAAAGTGCTTCATATTATTTCTGGGTTTGATTCCTACAAAGCAGTTCTAGTTGGGAATGGGATCATCGCGCCATTGATTCGGGTTATGGAATGTGGGAGTGAGGTGGGAAAGAACATTGCCGCCAGGTGTTTGTTAAAATTCACGGAGAATTCAGAAAACGCTTGGTCTGTATCTGCCCATGGCGGAGTAACAGCTCTATTAAAAATATGTTCGAGTAGTGATTCTAAAACAGAATTGATCGGCCCGGCTTGTGGGGTGCTTAGTAATCTCGTTGGTGTTGAAGAAATTAAGAGATTCATGATTGAAGAAGGTGCAATTTCAACGTTTATTAGGGTCGCTCGATCCAAAGATGAAGCTGTGCAAATAAATTCCATCGTCTTTCTCCAAAACATAGCCTATGGGGATGAATCAGTAAACAATTTGCTGGTCAAAGAAGGTGGAGTTCGCGCTTTAGTTCGTGTTTTGGATCCGAAATCTTCGTCCTCATCCAAAACCCTGGAGGTAGCGCTGCGAGCAATTGAAAACCTGTGTTTCTCATCAATCAGTTATGTAAATATTTTGATGAACTACGGGTTCATGGATCATCTTCTTTTCTTCTTACGAAATGGGGAAGTTTCTCTTCAAGAAGTAGCTCTGAAAGTTGCAGTTAGGCTCTGCGGGACATCAGAGGAGGCCAAGAAAGCCATGGGGGATGGAGGGTTCATGCCAGAATTTGTGAAGTTTCTTGGTGCAAAGTCCTTCGAAGTTCGAGAAATGGCAGCCGAGGCACTCTCAGGCATGGTCATGATCCCTAAAAACAGAAAGAGATTTGTGCAGGACGATCGAAACGTAGGGATGCTTTTGCAAATGCTCGACACAGAGGAGGGAAATTCAGGTAACAAAAGGTTCCTCTTTTCGATATTAAACTCATTAACTGGAAGCAGTAGTGGAAGAAGAAAGATTGTGAATTCTGGGTATATGAAAAACATTGAGAAACTTGCAGAAGCTGAAGTTTACGATGCCAAGAAGCTGGTCAGGAAATTGTCCACAAACAAATTCCGTAGTCTGTTGAGTGGAATCTGGCATTCTTGAATGTAATTTTTTTCCTTGTTTGTAATATCCTAATTTTCTTCTCCTTCTCCTTACATGATTTTGTTTATTAAATCCAATACCTGATTTCACAAACACTTGAGAATCCCACCCTTTACCTTCCAAGAACAGCTTAATAATGAGAGTGTATTTAGAAAGCTCTAATTTAATCATCTCCAACCACCACCCACATAAACTTCTGTGTAATTATAAAAGCCCCGAGCAAATACATTAAATCAGATTCAGTGTAGTTGAGTTGAGGATGGGAAGAAGAAGAGCACATGGGGGAAGAGAAGACATTGAATACAACAGAGAGGGGATTATGAGCAGTTTTAATCAACCCTTCTGCCCATCTGCCATTTCGGGACATTGACACTGAGAAGACACTAGACAGTGATGGATGAAGATGCTGTATTTTTCTTTTGTATTTTTCTTTTTCTAAATCCCGTCTGTTGTGTCAGGCTCACACTGGCCAGTTTCTTAAAATATCAATAAAGTTAATGTAACTGCAAAGTGAATGTTAAATTAAATGGGTTGTTTACCATGAACAGCATTTACATTTGGCCTAGCTATGAATGTAATTAGATATCCAAAAATAATGTCAAATAGATTGTGGATATAATTTCAGGTCGATGGCAGTACATCCCCAATTCTCAATCATAAATTTATATAATAAGCTCTTTGGATGAGGAATAGACAAATGGGAAGCAAGCAGCAGAGGGTCTGACAAGTGGACCATACTTGTCCATGAGAAACTTCCTGCGATGCTTTGGCAGACATGTGAATGAATCCCCAAATAAATATGATACTTTGGAGCTAAATGTGGGTGTTAGGGCCCATAATACACTGGCCAAGTTTCTGTCTCTCATATTACGAGATGGAATTTTCAATTTTTTTATATTATAAGTGAACGTTTGATTATTGAGCCAATAAATAAGGGCAAGACATCCACCAAAGCAAAAGGGAAGGATAGAACAAAAAGCAAGAAGGCCCACGGGTTCAGCAAACTGGGCCGAGACGTTTAGTTTTGTTATGGGCTGTTTGTTTGCAAGTCTTCTCTTATTTCATAGATATGGAACGTCTTTGGTAAGCACCATGAGAGCTTTTGGCTCAATCATTGAAGCATAGAATCGTTATTTGACCATGTTTAGTTATATTAATTGTGCAATAAATTACTCAAATATTGCGCTCATAATATTCAAAATCTTAGTAATTTTATTCATTGACTTTGCAAGAGTTGCAATAATGCATATTAGAAGTGGAGTTCTTTTCTGTCTTGTGGCTAAATAGAATAAGACAACACATGCATCAACTAATTGACTTGAAATTTAAACAACTTAATTAGAAGTAAATAAACAACTTAATTGGAATTGACATCCTTAATTTATCCCATTTCACCAAATATTTTTTTAAAATTCAATATAGAACATACTTTTCTTTTTAATTTATACAACATTTGCATAAGATAGTCATCAAATGGGCGCCAAGTTGAAATTAACCCCCTTTATTCAATATTGAAGCAAACAAAGACGTATAGAGAATTCAAATTATAGACAAATTCCAGTCTTTAAGGGAGGCTTGTAAAGCTATAGGGTGACGTGTAAAAGATAAACAAATTAAATTTTTATATCAGTGAGATGTTTGCGAATTTCATAACAACCCGATTCCATTACATGTACTTTTAAATTTTTAGCATAATAAATTTGTTTCTTTTTTGTAATCATAATCTATCTTCCTTTTTTTTCCTTCGGAGAACATCAAAATGTTGAAAATAAAGCCAGCCCTACAACCGAAAGGCTAAAGATCAATCAATGGGCCAAATCTCCCTTTGATCCACTTTCATATGGAGAGAGGATTTTTCTTTTTCTTTTTGTGTATTTGAGTTGGCCAAAATGAACAATTGAGAATAATATTTCATGAGAGTGAAAAGGGAATTGAGAGCGAAGGGTTTTGGTTTTTCAAAGTGGAGGTCAAACTCAAGGGTCCATTTTGGGGCTTAAATATTATTGGACCCACAAGACTGTCCATATTTGAAAACTCAAATTGTTTTGGACATTTTTGTTTGGCATAAAGTGATGATGCTGTGTGAACGCCACCTCCATGGCCGTTGGCTTCCTCAACAGTTGAAGCAAGTAATTTCACACTACAAATTCACAAGTTTTTGCAAGATATACACACAAATACATAAGGCTTAATTGTGAAAATGAATGTGAATAAAAGGGTAAGGATAGAGAAAGGGATGAGGACGCCAGATAATAGCGTATGTGGAGAACAAAAAAAGCTAATGGCCAATGGGGAGATTGGTTTCCCTTGCCTTGATCTCTTTGCCTCAACCAATTTAGATGACAGCTTTAATTTTGATCATCATGTGAACAACCCACCAACAATTTCCCACAATCTTATCCATTTTTTTCTTTTCCATTTCCAGCTCAACCTAATTTCCTTCATTGCCCTTTAAGTTTTAACCAACAACAAACGTCATAGTCCTGATCTTTACAACAATTTTAACCCAATCTGGTTGGATTTTTTTTTTTTTAAATTTATAAGAAAATATTTTCGATATATTGATTATTAATTGAGAAAGTAGTAGGAAATAGGAATATAAAGCGATGGCGTTGAATATTAATGAGAGGAAGCCGGAAAAAAAATTAAAAGGTGGGAGTGGGACAGCTATGGATGAAGTTGACCTATTCGTTTTCGTAGTTTATCCCAATACTATGGTGGACAGGACAGTGCAAAATCCACAGATGGTGATCTGGCATTATATTTATTTAATTAGTTAACATCCTCACTAATTTTTTTTGTATAATTTAATCGTCTTAGAAAATGCATGCTTGATTATTGAGCACAATGATTTAAAGCAACATAATAAATAATTACATCATGGAGTTGAATGAAACGATAATGATAATTTCATTCCAATTTCCAATACGATGGGGAGTTGTGGTTATGGGTATGGCGTCGTCGGCAAACCAGAAACAACATTTCCTCGATGCACGTGGGAACGCCACGTGGGACCCATAAAAAATCTCCCAATATATTATCAATTTTATGCCAACTCCTGCCCTTGTGTTGTGTTA